AAAAAAAAAGAAAAAGAAAAAAGTTCAGAAACAGTATCCAGGCCCAAGTTCAAGCCCCAGGACCAGCAAAATAAAGCAAGCAGTATTTGGAAATAATTTAGAAATGAGAATGTCCCAATAATTCCTAAGTATGTTCAAAATTCCCAAGAAAATAAGCCAATTATAACGGTAGATCTTCTTTTAGCCAAATAATTATTTGGGGGGGCACTAGCATTAGAACTCCTGGGTTCACACAGGCTAGGCAAGTGTGCTATCCTTGAGTTGAACCCTTTAGTTTTTTTTTGCCAGTCCTGGGGCTTGAACTTAGGGCCTGAGTGCCGTCCCTGAGCCTCTTTATGCTCAAGGCTAGCATTCTACTATGTAAGCCACAGAGCCATAAGCTGCTTATATAGTAGTTTATCGGAATAGTTTATTGGAGGTAAGAGTATCACGAAGACTTTCCTGTCCAGGCTGGCTTCAAACCACGAACCTCATATCTCAGCCTCCTTAGTAGGTAGGATTACAGGTGTCAGACACTGGTGCCTAGCTCCCTTTAGTTTCTTTTTTTTTTTTTTTTGTCAGTGTGGGGCTTGAACTCTGGGCCTGGGCGCTGTCCTTCAGCTCTTCAGCTCAAAGCGAGCACTCTACCACTTGAGCTACAGCGCCACTTCTGGTTTTCTGGTGGTTTATTGGAGATAAGAGTCTTAGGGCTGGGAAGGTGGCTCAGTGGTACAGCACTTGCCTTGCATGGGTTCGATTCCTCAGCACCACATAAGAAGGAGTCTCACGGTCTCTCCTGCCTGGGCTGGCTTTGAACCGCAATCCTCAGATCTCAGCCTCCTGAGTAGCTAGGATTACAGGCGTGAGCCACCAGCGCCTGGCTCCTTTAGTTTTTTTTGAGATAGGGTCTTCTTATTTTTGTCGGTCATGGGGCTTAAACTCTGGACCTGAGCGCTGTCCCTGAGCTTCTTTTTGCTCAAGGTTAGTTCTCTACCACTTGAGCCACAGTGCCACTTCCAGTTTTCTCCTTGTTTACTAGAGATAAGAGTCTCATGGACTTTCCTGCCAGGGCTGGGTTTGAATTGTGATCTTCAGATCTCAGCCTCCTGAAGTTGCTAGGATTACAGGCATGAGGGTATTCTTGTGTAACCCAAAATGGCTTCCAACTTTTCTTTGTTCTGGTACTCCTGTCCAAATGGTGGGATTACAGGACAGTACCACTGTGCCTAGCTACAACCAAAAATATTTCTTCAGTACTGAGGACCTCTCATCTGCTCAGCTGGTTCTCTACCACTTAATCCACATTGCCTGCCACTCTAGGTCATCTGCTGAAGGTACAATCTCTTGGATTTTGGTGCCAGAACTGGCCTAGAACTGTGATCCTCCAGATCTCAACCCAAGTTAGCTAGACTTTTAAGCATGAGCTACTGTATTGGGTTCATTAGTATTTTCTTATGTTGACTGCACTCGGAAATCCAATCTTGGTTATATTGGATTAAATATGTCATTCGAGTTCATTTCATCTGTTCATCTTTTTGCATGTGTATGTGCTCACCCTGATCCTAGGAATTAATTCAGGGCCTGGGCCCTGTCCCTCAGCTCTTCAGTTCAAGGTGAGCGCTCTACCACTTGAGCCACAGCGCCACTTCTGGTTCATTGGAGTGAAGAGTCTTTGAACCGTGATCCTCAGATCTCAGCCTCCCCAGTAGCTGGGATTCCTTGCCACCGATGCTGTCTATCATTTCCCACCTTAATTTCATTTGCATTCTGTATACAGGAATGTTTTGTGGACATGGCACCTTGCTGATCATGGATTAAATGTTTTAAAATTTGATTTTTAAACTGCTGAGCTCTATTTTAAAAAGAGTGATTACTACAAACCATGCGATTCTGCGGCTTGAGTTCCATGGGTGTCGCGTGGTCGAGGCGGCCTGGGGAGGGGGAGGCGCGGGGCTGGTCCATGGGCAGAGCCAGGATTCGAACCCCTGTCTGGCCACTTCAACCCTCCCAGAGACCAGGCACCCCTGGGGCAGGAAGGGAGGGCTCAACTGTTCCTAACAGTCATAACGGTCACAACGTCCGACCGGGCCTCGCCTGCCACAAGCCCCTCGCAGAAGCTTCCAGAAATGCTTCCAGGCCTACAAGGACCCCCCCCCCTCAGGCCACAACGCCGGCGCCCTACTTCCGCTTCTTTTCGGCCAATCGTAAGCCAAGTCTTCCCCTTGCTCCCACCCTCCGAGCAACATGACCCAATTACTTTGCAGAAACCTGCCTTATCCCCGCCCCACTTCTCCCTGTCAATCACAGTGAGCGCAGGCAAGAACCTCCTTGCTTTCTTCAGTGAGCGCAGTGCGCCACCGTTTGGCTGTTGACGGCGCTGCCCTCTGCCTGAAGCGTCTTCCGGAAAGGAGCGATGAGGGGGGCGGGCCATGCCGGTTGCGGGGACAGTCAGAATTGGCTAAGAGGGGCGCCGCTCACTCTGACTCCACCCATCCACGCCCTCACTCTCGGAGTCGGAGACGTTAGGGATTGGCTCCGAACGTAGTGCACAGATAGTCCCGCCTTCCTCTCAGGACGCTGAGAGGGAGCTGCTCTCATTGGTGGCAGGCGTCCGGGCGCGCGCCGCTAGGCGCACGGGGATTGGTTGGCACAGCGAGAGCGCGCGCCGCCGGGCGGCGTTGGCGGTGATTGGCTGGCGGGTGGGGCCGACTATTTGAAGGCGGCGCGCGGAGGAGAAGCGCAGTGCGAGCCGGCGGCGGAGCGAGGAGGCTGAGGCGCCCGCGGGTCACGCCGGCCTTCCCGTTGTCCCGCGCCCCTTCCCCCTTCCCTCCCAGCCCCTCCCGCCGGGCCCGCCCCGACGCGCGCGGGACCCACCGCAGCTGCTCCCGTCAGCCGGCCAGGCGATGGCGAAGGTGTCGGTGCTGAACGTGGTGGTGCTGGAGAACCCGAGTCCTTTCCACAGCCCCTTCCGATTCGAGATCAGCTTTGAATGCAACGAGGCCCTGGCAGACGGTGAGGTAGACCCCGTGCGGAGACCCCGATCTTCCCTGCTGACCGCCCCGCTCCTCGGGCCTCTGCCGCGGACGAGCCCCCGTGTCCTCCTCCCGGGGACCCCCGGCCCCCATCTCCGCCCACTCCGTCCCTTCCCGCGCCCGCCCCGACCTCCCCATGCAGGAGCTCTCTGGCACCCCGTGAGTGTGTGCGCGTGTGCGTGTGAACACGCAGTTCCTGGGACTTGAACTCAGGGCCAGTGAGGGTTTTGTGGTTTTTTTTTTTTGGCTCCAGGCTGGCGCTCTACCATTTGAGCCGCAGCTCCACTTCCGGCATTTGGCTGGTGAGTGGGCCACCAGAGTCTCTCACACTTCCCTACCGGGGCTGGCTTCGAACCGCCATCCTCAGGTCTCAGCCTCTAATCTTGGCACCCCGCAGAATCCTTCCACGACACCCCTCCGTCCCTCCCCACTCTCCTCTCCTTGGCTCCCACCCAGGGTCCCCAGGCCCTCGGGGTGCCCCACCTCCTTTTTTCTCCAGCTCGCTGCTTTCCCGGGTGGAAGCTGCCCCCCCCGGCCCCGCTTTGCTGTACCTCCCTGGGCAGGGCTGGGTATTTGGTCCCCCACCTCGTGTTGGTGCGCGCCGCCAGCCCGGGCCGTGCGCTCGGGTCGAGGGGTGGCCCGGCCGGGCTGCAGGTCCCTCCGGACTCCTGACGGCTGTCATTGAACAGCCCGCGATCTCGGATGGCCTCGGAGGGGGTCGCACCGAGTGTGGGCCGTGGGTGTGGAACCTGCTGGAAGGCAGCTTCCCACAGCCGGCGACGGCCGCCGTGGGGCGTGTGTCCCCCTCATCCGGACCGGAGGAAGGTGGCCGGCTGTCACCGGTGAGGTGACACGGAGCCACAGAGAGGGACCTGTCCAGGAAAGGGCCGGCCACGCACCGGGGCGCCCCCGCCCCGCTGGGGGTGTTAGGCCGGCTCTCGGGGTGGGGGGGGCGGGGAGACTCGGCGCCGGGGGCGTGGCCTCGCGGGGCGTGGCCTCGCGGGGCGTGGCTTGTGGGGAAGTGGGTGCCATTTGGAGGAGCCCGAGCTGCCAGCGACGTGTGCGCTGGGCCCGGGCCAGCCCGGCGGCCTCTCCCCCGGCTCGACTCCTGTTTCAATTAGGGAGCCTCCTAGTGACTAACTATAGAAGAAGCCGGGTCAAATCCTTTCTGGAACGAGGCGGGGCGTAAATAAATAAATAAAGGGTAGCGTGACTGCTGCGGAGTAAGACTTAGTTTAGGAGGCAGGAGGGGACAGCAGGAGCTAATAGATTCAGGGATTCACAGTTCCCACTGGGCGGACGATCCGGTTTCCATCAGCCTGTGTGCTTCTGGCGGTTAAACACAGTTGCACTGAGAGGCCGTTGCATGGCCATTGCCCATTCGGTATTCCTTTTTTTTGCCGGGGGGGGGTCCAGTCGTGGGGCTTGAACTCTGGGTCTGGGCGCTGCCCCCCAGCTCTTCAGCTCAAGGCTAGCGCTCTACCACTTGAGCCACAGTGCCACTTCCGGCTTTTTTCTTATTTCTTATGTGGTGCTGAGGAATCGAACCCAGGGCCTCAAGCATGCAAGGCAAGCGCTCTACCACTGAGCCACCTTCCCAGCCCATCCTTTTTTTTTTTTTTTTTTGCCGGTCCTAGGGCTTGAACTCAGGGCCTGGGCGCTGTCCCTGAGCTTCTTTTGCTCAAGGCTAGCACTCTACCACTTGAGCCACAGCACCATTTCCGGCTTTTTCTGTGTATGTGGTTCTGAGGAATGGAACCCAGGGCTTCATGTATGCTAGGCAAGCACTCTACCACTAAGCCACATTCCCAGCCCCTGGTATTCCTTCTAGAATGCCGGGAGGAGGGAAGGCCACAGGGACACTGCCAGGCTTGCCCTCCGTTAATGGAGAGGCCTATGTCACAGTGTCACTAGATCTGATGTTGAGTTCTGAGTTCAGGGCCTTTCTCATGTCTGAGAGGTCTGGAAAAGAAAGGTTTTGGTCTTGGTGCTGGGGATCAAATGTAGGGCCACACACGAGCCAAGCCCACATTCTGCTAGGGAGCTCACCCCAGCTACTCATCCACTGCTTCACCATGTAGAAATGACCACAGGTGCTATTGCCCAATAAGGACATTCAATAGGTAGAAAAAGGGTTGGGAAGGTGGCTCAGCTGTAGAGTGCTTTCCTTGCATGCATGAGGCGCTAGGTTCAATTCCTCAGCACTACATAAGCAGAAAAAGCTGGAAGTGGTGCTGTGGCCCAAGTGGTAGAGTGCTCACCTTAGCTGAAGAGTTGAGGGACAGTGCCCAGGCCCAGAGTTTAAGCCCACAAGCGACAAAAAATAAGTAAATAAATAAATACTAAGCTGAACACAAGAGCTCATTCCTGCAATCCAAGCTGCTGAGGCAGCAGAAACCTGGAGAACTCAGGTTCTAAGCCAGCCTGGCAGAAAAGTCAGATTGTCTCTGGCAAGAAGCTGGACTAGAGGCATGGCTCAAAGGTAAAAGCTGTGAGCAGGAGGTCCTGAGTTTATCTATGATGTGCAGAAAGAAATGTTTGGCATGGTAGTGCATGCCTGTAATTCTGGCACTCGGCTTCTTTGCTTGGCTGGTGGTCTACCAGTTGATCCACACGTCCAGTCCTGGCTTTTTACTGGTTATTTTGGAGATGGAATCTCATCAATTTTTCTGCTAGGGCTAGCTTCAAACCAAGATCCTCCAAGTCTCTGCCTCCTGAGTAACTAGGATTACAGGTGTGAGGCATCAGTGCCTGGCTGGCTTCTCAGATTTTTTTGTTGTTGTTTGTGGGGCCTGAACTCTGGGCCTGGGCGCTGTCCCTCAGCTCTTCAGCTCAAGGCTAGCGCTCTACCACTTGAGCCACAGCGCCACTTCCAGCTTTTTTCTTTTTGCTTATGTGGTGCTGAGGAATCGAACCCAGGGCCTCAGGCATTCAAGGCAAAGCACTCTACTACTGAGCCACCCTCCCAGCTCTCCAGCTTTTTCTATTTATGGGGTGCTAAGGAATCGAGCCCAGGGCCTGGCCTCATGCATGCAAGGCAAGCACTCTACCACTGAGCCACCTTCCCAGCTCCTGTGCTTAGCTTTCGTGTGTGTGTGTGTGTGTGTGTGTGTGTGTGTGTGTGCGCGTGCATGTGTGCGTGTGCGCGTGCATGCGTGCGTGTGTGCGTGTGCGTGTGTGTGCGCGCGCACGCGTTTGCAGCAACACTGCTTGTGGATGAGACTCGAAGGAGTGAGTGTTGCTTTAGCCAAATTCTGCTGTTCTTTCAACAACGCTGATCCTACTTAGGTCACTTTCTTTTCCTTCTTCTAGTACTGTGGCCAGAACTCAGGGCTTCACTCACTGGGCCTTGAGTTACTCATCCATCCAGCCCAGCTGTTCGCTGTTGAGCTGGAGATGGAATGAAACACGATCCTCCAGATCTCAGACTCCTCAGTGGGAGAGGAGAACAGGCATGAGCACCCAGCCTGACTTGTCCATTTTGTGTGTGTATGTGGCTTGACATTAAGGGCCTGGGTGCTGTCCTTGAGCACTTGTAGCTCAATGCTCGTGTTCACCACTTGAGCCAAAATTCTACTTCTGGCCTGGACTTTCCTACTTCAGCTGGCTTTTGAATCATGGTCCTCAGATCTCAGCCTCGTGAGTAGCTAGGATGACAGATATGACCACCCACTCCTGGCTGCATTTGTTAAAAGTAGTGATAAGCCTGGAGTTGGGGCTTATCCTACTTACTTGAAAGGCAGATCTTAGGGGATCTCAGTTCAAGGCCACCCTTGAAAATAAAAAACCTTGAGATCCAGGCACATGCCTTTCATTCTTGTCCATAGCTGGGGGTGTCACGAGTCACCCTGGACCCCATCTTAGCAACACAGAAAAAAGCAACTATAAAGCAGGATACTGGTAGCTTACACCTGTTATCCTAAACTCAGAGGAGGCTGAGATCTAAAGATTGTGGCTCAAAGCCAGCCCCGGCAGGATAGTCTGTGGGACTTAACTCCAATGAACCACCAGAAAACCAGAAGTGGTGCTGTGGCTCAAGTGGTAAAACACTAGCATTAAGCTGAAGAGTTCAGGGACAGGGCCTAGACCTGGAGTTCAAGCCCCACAACCTTGGGGGGATGTGGGGAAATGACTATAAATCCGTCAAGTTCCCTGCTGGAGCTTGAACCCCAGGGCACCCCGTGCTCACCTGAGTGAGCCCTGGAAGGGTGTGGGTGAAACCGCAGAGGGACAGGAAGTGGGTGTATCGAGGAAGGGCTGGGCTCAGGTGACAGCCGCCGAGGCCAGGCCGGGCTTGGATGCGCGCTGCGGCCCAGCGTCCAGGAGCTGCTTCCTGTGAAAATCGCAGCTTGTGAAACTCGCCCAGCTGCCGGCCCGAGGGTTGTGTCATTTCAAAGAATCTAAAATAAGTTCCAGGTCCCCTGCCAAGCGCCCCTGCACTCGAATGACCTTGCCTCTGATACACTTGGACCTCGGCAGGCAGCCACAGCACCCGGGGGCCAGCGGGGCTGTGCTGCGCGTGGAGCTCCCTCCCTGGTGGCATGCAGGGGTTTGGGGGTGCCACGGGCATATACTGATGACCCCTTTACCCAGGTGTCTACAAGTAGACATGACTTGGGGCTTGGCCAGACACACCTGGGGGGGTAGCCGCCGCCTCCCTCCCCACAGCCTTGATTTCCCCCTCCTGCCCTTTGGAACCTGCACCCCACCCCCCACCCAATGATGGTTCCATGGCACCAAGTCGCTGTGTGTGAAAGTGGATGCCACTCCCTACCCCCCCCCGCGCCCCCAGATGCCCGCCTGCTGCCTCCTGCCCGCAGAAGACATCACATGGCTCTTGATTCAGACTCTGCCATACGATTCCCCCTCCCCAGCCGCTGAGATCCCCGTGCCTCCCCCCCCCCCCAAGGTCGCTCGGTCCAGCCAGGCTCATGGCAGCTGTGTCCCCACCATGAGTGGGGCTCCATCTCTGCCCTAGTTCAGGCTGGGAAGGGGCCAGCACCCATTGCCCAGCCAACCCCCATCCAGCTGGAAGAATCTTCCAGAACCCTTTAGAAAGACCCTCAGCTGTCTCGCTGCTCAGCTATTTATTTCCATTGCTTAACTCCGCCCTGTGCTTTTGCAGACCTGGAGTGGAAACTCATTTATGTGGGCTCAGCAGAAAGTGAGGCATTTGATCAGATTCTGGACTCCGTCCTAGTGGGCCCCGTGCCTGCCGGGAGGCACATGTTTGTGTTTCAGGTAAGAGAAGTGCGGCCTGGGCCATACTGTTGCGTATCTATTTGTTGTTCATTTGATGGGATGCTGAGCTGGAGCCTGGCCTCTGGTGTAATCTGGCTTCCCTTCCTGCCTAGCCACGCCCCCATCCTTGAACCATTCTTTGTCCGAAAGTGTGTGGTTCAGCTTCTAGCTGGGCGCCGGTGGCTCACGCCTGTCATCCCAGCTACTCAGGAGGCTGAGATCTGAGGATCACGGTTCAAAGCCAGCCCCAGCAGGAAAGTCCATGAGAGTCTTTATCTCCAATAAACTACTGAGAAATGGCTCTGTGGCTCAAGTAGGTAGGGCATAGCCTGGAGCAAAAAGCCCAGGACTGGCCGAGTTCGAGCTAGCCTGGGCTACATAACGAAACCATGTCTGAAAAGAAAAAGAAATGGCATTGTGTCTGACGAAGGCCCCGCGCTGTCCTTTGCATTCATCTCATCTCACACCAGTGCACCCTGAATCTGTCTGTCTTCTGCTTCTGGGTTGAGGTCCTTGCCCCTTTCCAGAATAATGCATGCCCAGCCTCCCCTCCCGTCCTTCTGTCACACTGAGACCAAACGTGTGTGTGGGGGGGTCCACTCTCAGCCTCACCTGCTGTTCCCTGAGCCTCCGCACCCCCTCCCATGTTGCCATGCCTTCGTGTTGAGCGCGTCCTCTGCGCCCCAGGCGCCCGGCCTGCAGCCCTCTCCTGGTCCTCTAGGGAGTCAGTTATAACCAAGCACCCTTTCTACCCTGGCAATCCCCTGGGAATCTGCGCGGTGACACTGGGGTGCCACCTGATGCTGAGACTCAGGCTGTGTCCCCCCAGGCTGACGCCCCCAACCCGTCCCTCATCCCTGAGACGGACGCGGTGGGTGTGACCGTCGTCCTCATCACCTGCACGTACCACGGCCAGGAGTTTATCCGCGTGGGCTACTACGTCAACAACGAGTACCCGAACCCCGAGCTGCGGGAGAACCCGCCCTCCAAGCCCGACTTCTCCCAGCTCCAGCGTAACATCCTGGCCTCGAATCCCCGGGTGACACGCTTCCACATCAACTGGGAAAACACAGACAGGCTGGAGGCCCCCGACAGCCAGGACCCCAGCGTGGCCTTCAGTCTGGGCTGCGCACCCGTCAAGGGCCTGGGCCTCCCCGCCTGTACCCCCGGCCTGCTCCCGGAGAACTCCATGGATTGCCTCTGACTTGGAGCCAGGTCCAGCTGTGTTCTGCCAGGGCTGTGGCCCAGCTCATTCGCTTCCTGCCTGCCACAGTTGGGCAGGCTGGTCAGGAGGGCAGCAGGCCCCATTGGAGCTGAGCCAGAAGAAAGAATGGGACTCTGCTCTCTTCCGGCCTGGTCTGCCCTCTAAACGGCGGCACAGACTTCCGGCAGGCCATGCCTTCGTGGTTCGCTCTTTCTCACTCGTGATGTTTTTCTTTTGTACACCTCAAAGCCACTTGCAGGCCGTGGCACCCCTCAGCTCCTGGGACCCCAGTGACCCCCGGGCTCTTCCCACAGGCCATTTGCCTCCCGGCTGGCTGGGGCATTTCCCACAGCCTCTCATGCCCCCTTCCCCAAGTTTCTGATTGGGTTCCCCACCCCCACCCTGCCTGATACACAGCTCTCTGCGTTGCAGCCTGGGGTGCATGCAGAAGCTGCTTTCTAATATCCTGGGCTGCAGTTTCCCTGGGGACTGAGCTGGGGAGGTAGTTTATCTGGAGGGTTTCCTGTGCCCCCCCCCATGCCCATCTGGAGACCACAGCATCTCCTAGTACCCTGGTCCCTTCGCTGTTCCCTGAACCCTGTTTGAGAGTGCAGTTTTCTATTTTGATACCAGAAGTGTTTTGGTTGGTCTGCAATAAAAAGCACTTCACGAACCTTGCCTGTTGCTATTTTCTCTGTGGTGGGCCAAGTGGCCAGGTCTGGGGTGGCCTGTGGTCCCCTGGGATTTCTCTGTGGTGGGCCAAGTGGCCAGGTTTGGGGGTGACCTGTGGTCCCCTGGGACAGCCAGCCACCTCCCCCCCCTTCTGCTCCCAAATGGTTGTTTCCCTCATGGACAGCAGGAAGGGTTTCTGAAAATATAAGCAAACCAGCTGCTCAGCAGACAGATCACTATCAGTGATTTTTCAGACTTTGACCTTGACCACAGGAAGAGAGTAACATGACAATCCGAGCACACACACATTTGTGCTCCGCACCTTGGGGTTTCGTTTTGTTTTAAAGTTTGATACCAGCACTGGGACTCGAAGGCAGGATCTGGGCACTGTTCCAGCTCAAGGCTGGTGCTCTACCATTTGAGCCACAGTTCTACATCTGGTCTTTTGGTTATTAGTTGCAAATAAAAATCTCATGGAAGCCGGTGCCACCTGTAATCCTAGCAACTTAGGAGGCTGAGGTCTGAGGATCACGGTTCAAGGCCAGCCTGGGCAGGAAAGTCCATGAGGCTTTTTTTTTTTTGGGGTCCAGTCATGGGGCCTGAACTCTGGGCCTGGGCGCTGTCCCTCAGCTCTTCAGCTCAAGGCTAGCACTCTACCACTTGAGCCACAGCACCACTTCTGGCTTTTTTCTTTTTGCTTATGTGGTGCTGAGGAATTGAACCCAGGGTCTCATGCATGCAAGGCAAGCGCTCTACCACTGAGCCACCTTCCCAGCCCCAGTCCATGAGACTCTGATCTCCAATAAACCACTAGAAAACCAGAAGTGATGCTGTGGCTCAAGTGGTAGAGCGCTAGCCTTGAGCTGAAGAGCTGAGGGACAGCGCCCAGGCCCAGAGTTCAAGCCCCACGACCGACCAAAAAAAAAAAATCTCATGGACTTACTGTGCAGCCTGGCTTCAAACCATGATCCTCAGATCTCGGCCTCCTGAGTAGCAAGTTTTTCTTTCTTTTTTGGTGGGGGGCAACAGGTTTTGATAAGTAACCCTCCTCCTGCCTCAATCTCCTGAGCGCTGCGATTACAGGTGTCCACTCCCAGCTCAACCTTTTCTTTTTGATGCTGTGATGAGAACTGAACCCAAGGCCTGGTGCCTGGCCACCGAGCTACCTAAATCCTCAGCCTGGGGGTCTGGTCCTGTGTCCCCAGCTTCACCCACCTAACACTAGCAGCGCGCCTTCTTCCTGCTCGCTGAGATAGTCTCAACTACCTCCAGACAGTGCTGAATGTGTGCCTGGAGTGGGGGGGGGCGCAGGGGAGCATCCCCTGCACAGACGGGGTGCTGAGGGTCCGTGGCCTCCGAGCTACAAGCCGGCACAGTGCCTTTGCCTGGCGCTGCACGAGCGTCCGGAGCGGGGGGCTGGGTCCTCGGTCCGAGCCCTGCCGCCGCCCACCTCCGCAGGCAGCTGTGGCTCGAGCGCTAAAGCACCAGCCTTGAGCAACAAAGCCCAGACACCGTGCGCGGGCCCGAGTTCAAGCCCCAGAGCCGGCACCAAAACTACACATAAAAAGCTCCCTGAAGGAAGGTGGGGG